CTACTTCCTTGTTGCCGGGTAGATTTGCAGCAGGCCCGGATATGTCCGTAAAAGGCACTCAAGAGTTCTAGCGGGGGGGCAAGGCCCCCCACAATTGAGCACCAGCTCTCTCTCACTAGACATGGCAAGGACAATAAGCATCTTCTAGAACAAAGCAGGCATAAGGATTATGAGCCACATGTGATGAGCTGAGAATTAAGATTAAAAAGGTATGAAGAGAGTGGACCAATGTTATGAATTATTTTAGTTCCTCTAAAAAATAAGATGATAATGGGCTTTGCTCTCATTTTCTCCCAGGAAGAGTTATTTGAATATTTGATACTAAGAAACAATGAAGCCCTATGAGGACAAAAGGTGTTAAGCCAAATAGTAAAGATTCTATGTGATGACAGAGGCAAAAGAAAAAATATCAAAAGCTTGAGTCTCTTCTGCTGGCATCAAAACACTATAGAAATTCTAAATTCTCCAATATTCCAACTTGTGTTTATTGGCTGATTTAATGTCTCACATTTGCTTCTAAATTATTGTAAATTATCCAGAAAAGGTATTTAATAGGAAGAAACTTAGAGGGCCTTTGATCTCACTAGGTGCATGGGCAGTATCATATGTCTGTGTGTGTTTTAAAGAGCTGGAAAACATAATTATTTATGACTTACCTTGGCATTTTAGGCATGTTGGGTCTATATATAGAGACTTCTTAAACCACTTTAAAATTTTATTATCTTCCTTTTTTGCCCTATATTTATCCATGTTATATTGCACAATCAATCATCTTTTCTTTAATTGCTCCCACATCCAAGGGTCATTACCATAGAATTGCGAGTAACAAAGTGGACAGAAGCATGTGTAGAACCACAAAGACTGTAGGGCATCACTAATCACACTACTGTTTGCAGGGATTCTGCCCTCTAGCTCCCAGGCAATAACAGACTCTGCAACAACTATGAAGTAGCCTGGTCTTGCATGGAACTTGGGTCGCTTAGCCTTTCCTGAATTGCTGAGATGAGGCAGCCCTGTAGCTGTACCCAGCCATGCCCAGCCTGTGCTGATTTGCATGGGGGAGCTCACAGCCCTCTGCCCTGAAGATTTATTATGCTGCTCGCACCCTGTGCACAAGCCAGTCCCAGTCAGGACACAGCATGAACATCAGGGGCCCATCTCAGCTCCTGGTGCTCCTGCTGCTCTGGCTCCCAGGTAGGGAAGGACATGGGGATTTGCTCAGACCAGTATGATCAGTACTTCCTGACTCCTCAGATAAGTTTTATTAAAGCTGGATTGATTGTATGGATCTTTGTGTTTATGTTTCCCATGTCAGGTGCACAATGTGACATCCAGATGACCCAGTCTGCATCCTCAGTGTCTGCTTCTCTAGGAGGCAGAGTCATCATCACTTACAGAGCCAGTCAGAACATTTACAGCAATTTAAATGTGTATGAGCAGAAACCACAGAAAGCTCCAAAGCTCCTGATCTATGTTGCAAGCAAGTTTGAAACCAGGATCCCACTAAGGTTTAGTGACAGTGGATTTGGGACAGATTTCACTCTCACCATCAGAAGCCTGGAGCCTGAAGATGTTGGAACTTATTACTGTCAACAAGATTATGGTTCCCCTCCCACAGTGATAGAAACCGTAACATAAACCCTTCAAGGATGCAGAAGTGTGAGGCTGGGGTGCCTCAACTGCTCCTTCTGATAACTCTACCTGCTGAGAACATTTCATAGATGCAATCAGGTCTTGAAAGTCATTGTAAGATTTTGTTAGAAGGGCCATTGTATCCAGTTTGCTCCTTAATTTTCTTTCTTTTTCCTCAGCCTCAGGAGCATAAACATGGCAACTGTTTTCTGTTAGAAAGGAAGTGTTATGTCTGAGGATTCAGGGTTCTACCTTCATTTGGAACTCATAGAGGAAAAGAGAAGACAATCAAGTTAGGGAGGGATATTTTAACACAAAGAATTATAATGTACAGGACAGCTTTTACTGCCCTGGGGAAGTCAGAGAGGCTGATACTGGATATGGTGTGCTCTGGTGATCCCAGAGTGCTGTAGCACAAAGGAATGGGCCTCTTCATCACATGATCCTCTGCCCTGCAGAGAAAAGCCAGTGGTGCAATTCTCATTGTCACTTGCTAGCAGCACCTCTCCATCTGAGGTTTCAGCCTTAAGCTCTGCATGTATCTGCCTGCTGATTTCCAAAAGGACTAAATCCTCTTCAGTCCTTTAAAATTCATAAGTTTATCTCACATATTCAGCTCTATAGCAAAGCATGGGATGTTTTTCTGAGAAATATACTTCAGAACTGATGGTGATTGTGGTGAGGTTACAGTGGACAGCCCAGGACGTCACTATAGCCTGAAGTCTCAGAGGTTTTTCAGCTAGGAGATGGCCCCAAACATGCTCAAATGCATTTCAGAGTATAATGTGTGAATACGACAGTATATCAAGCAACATCCTTAAGTCATGGACAAAACTGGAAGAGACAGTTAATTATGAGAATTGTATAGCAATTTTTACATCAATTTTCATATGAACATATTTTCAGAAAGCTTTCTGATCTAAACAGAAACACCACACAACAATATTTTAATACAAAATTATTATGTGTAGGACAGCTTTTAATGTCCTGAGGAAGTAAGAGAAGCTGATAGTAGATAAGGTGCTCTCTGGTGATCCCACAGCATGATGTAGTACCAAGAAATGGGCCTCTTTATCACATGATCCTCTGCCCTGTGGAGAAAAGCCAGTGGTGCAATTCTTATTGTCACTTGCTAGGAGCATCTCTCCATCAGAGGCTTCAGCCTTAGTTGCTCTGAATGTAATGGTCTACTGATTTTCAAAAGGACTAAATCCTCTTCAGCATTTCACAACTCATAACTTTATCTCTACACATTCAGGAATTGATGGTGATCTCAGCAAGGTGATAGTCAGCAGTCTGGAAGTTTTCACTATCGCCTGAAGTCTCAGATTATTTTCAGTTTGGAAATGGCCCCAAAACATGCTCAAATGCATTTTCAAGTAAAATCTGTGAACACTGGACTATATCAAGCAACATTCTTTTTTTTGTTGTATTAAATTCTTTTATTGGTACATTGTAGGTAAACAACACAATTACATTTCTCATTGGGAATTGTACCTTTTTTTTTTTTTCAAGCAACATTCTTATGTTGTAGATGAAACTGGAAAAGGTAGGTAATTATGAGAAATGCATAGAAACATCATTTCAGACTAACATATTGTTCAGAAAACTTTCTAAACCAAAAAGAAACAATACAGACCACAAAACAAGCAAACAAAAAATGAGAAAATAAAAACCAAAAAAGAAAAATATAACCTTCTTAATTTAAGCATTTGTTTCCCAAATATGTAAGAGTTCTGCTGTTAAAAATGTGTCCAGTTGCCAGCAGTATCCTAGTGTCCCTGAGAGTGCATTATGGATGCAGAATCACAAATTTCCCAGGCTCCCTCTTGAGCTAAATGGTAGAAGGGTTTTAACAAAATAGCAGGAGACCCACAACAGGTGGAAGAAACTGTGTTTTAGATCAGTTTTAATATAGTTAAAGAGATGTCCCCCAGTGCAACTATTTCCAAAACTATCTATTTAAGTTCACATGCTCTAAACACACTGAACTTTCTTTTATTTTTAATGTAAAGTATTTGAAAACATTTTTGTAAGATAAAATTTGAAAGAAATAATTGTTTTCCCATAGAGGAATCAAATACTTTGATAATTAAGTGTACTAAAGGATTTTAGAAACTTCAAAAAGTATCAAATCAAAAACAAAAAACATCAAATCAAAAGCAAAACACTAGAACCTGTTTTAGGGACAATTAGAGTTGAATTTGGTCGAGCACGTTGGTTTGGGGATTTAGTTCACACCTCCACTTGCCAGAAAATGCGCTACTCTGAGTCTCCCAGCCCTGAAGCTTGGGCCCAGATCAAACTCCATCCATTAACAGGAAAACAGCTCAGTGCCGAAGGCAGAACAGCCAGGTCTGCTCTGCTCAGAACAGCGGGACAGATGATCCTTCACATGGTGGCCCCTGAACAGGACTAGAAATGCTCAGTGATAAGACCACCGAGTTTCTCAGAACTGTTTACAAATCACTGTGTCAGAGCTGAGTAATAAAAAATTTACATATCCACACACAGATATAGTAATTTTATAGAACTGATGGCTTAAAAACAAATACTAAGGATTTCATACATAAAGAGGCATACAACATTGGAGAAATTTCAAAACATATACAATGTTTCAATAAAAAGAGGAAGATTAATTGTATTTATGAAAAATGTACCAAATATAATATATAACGATATTTAACATAACTATACATTTCCTATGTCTACATCATA